GAGAAAGAGAGAGAAAGGAGATTTACTTCCCCAAGGTATGGGAGGGGGCCAAAGCCAGGAGACATGGCCTGACCATGGGAGCAGGTTTTACACACCTCTCCTGCTGTATTTCTGAAAAAGAAGTCTTCACATTTGTTACCAAATCCTCTTAGCAAATCTAAAGCTAGTGGATTAGGTTCATTAACCTCATGATGTAGGTAAGGGAGTAGGTTCCAAAAAACCTAAGTGCAGTGAGTCCCCTACATATGAACTGATCTGAGAGTGCATTTGTAAGTCCAATTTGTTTGTAAGTTCAACAAATTTAGTCTAGGTACCCAACTAACACAGTAGGCTATAGAGTGCTGTACTATACTAGACTTATGATGCTTTTCACATAAATAATACATAAAACACAAAAAATAAAACATTTTAAATTGTACTTGAAAAGTAGAGTAGTACAGTACAATAGCTGGCATATAGGGCCTAGCATCGAGTAAACAGGCAAGAAGAATTACTGACTGGAGGAGGGAACGGAGGTAGATGATGGTAGAGTTGAAGGATCATCAGCAATAGGAGATGGAAGGCAAGAAGCAATTTTACTCACATCTGAGATTGATGACACACAGGATCTCTGGTTCCTTGCTGGATTCACTTCTATCATCTTGAATAAAAACGATTCAGTGATGTCTGATTAGTAGCTCTTTTGTTCTCATCACAGACGCCACGGTAGCACTGGAGTGCCTTCTGAATGGCTGCTGCAACCTTCGTGTATCGTTCTACATCTGGGTCCTGTGCCTCAAAAATTAACAGTGCCTCCTCAAATAAAGAAAATCCCCTGCCATTTTCTGCATCATGAATCTCTTTGGTTCTTCAGTTACTTCTCTCTCCTTTCTCTGGAGCTCCAGTTCCATCTGGTCTTCATTAGTATGCTCCTTGTGTTGCACGGCAAGGAGTTCGTTGAAGTCATCCTCTTGCAGATCTAGCTCCAGCTTCTCTCTGAGGATGACTAAGTTGCTGAGGACCTCTTTGGACTCCTCATCCACCTCAAATCCACCAAAATTGTGAACAAACTGCAGGCAAATGTTCTTCCAGATCCCATTCGTGGCAACAACCCTAACCTCACGCCGAGCAGAGTCAATGTGTTTACGGCCTTGTAGTTGTTCTCGTCCTAAAATTGTCACAAGGTTGTTCCTGATTCATCACTCACCTTTACTGCCTGATGAAAAGTGTGACGTAAGCCGGGCTCGGTGGCTCAGCCTTAATCCCGCGCTTTTGAGAGGCTGAGGTGAGTGGATGGCCTGAGCCCGCGGGTTCGAGACCCGCCTGGGCAGCGAGACCTCATCTCTACAATAAATCAAAAAATCAGCCGGGTGTGGCAGCGCATGCCTGTAATTCCCGGCTACTTGGAAGACTGAGGCGGAAGGATCGCCGGAGCCCAGTAGGTCGAGGCTGCGGTGGCCGGTAGCGGCCACTGCACTCCAGTCTGGGTGACAGAGTGAGACTCCAACTCAAAAAAAAAAAAATTAGCTGGGTTTGGTGGCACGTGCCTGTAGTTCCAGCTACTTAGAAAGCTGAGGCGAAAGGATCACCTGAGCTTAGCAGGTGAAAGCTGCAGTGGCCATGAGTGTGCCACTGAACTCCAACCTGGGTGATAGAGTGAGACCCCACTCCAAAAAAAAATAAGGTGTGAATATATTAAATTACATAATATATATGCCTATAACTAACAGAAGTACGCATATACATATTTATCAAAATAGACATAATTAATAAGATATAAACATAACCACATGTATTATAAAAATTTATGTACACATATGTAGTATAAAAAGCACATGTGTAAAAATGCATACACATAAATATAAAATACAATACATATAACTGTATAGATAATAAACTTGAAATGCATTCATACCTTTTCTTTCTTTTTTGTCTGAGTCTCACCCAGTTGCCCAGGCTGAAGTACATGAACATGCTCAAGGCCACCACAACCTCGACCTCCTAGGCTCAGGCGATCATTCCACTTCAGCCTTCCAAGTAGCTGGAACTCCAAGCACATGCCACCACACCCAACTAATTTTTTGATTTGTTGTAGAAATGGGGATCTTGCCAAGTTGCCCAGGCTAATCTCCAACCCGAGGGCTCAGGCAATCCTTTTGTCTCTACCTCCCAGTGTGCTGGGATTACAGGCATGAGCTACTGCTCTTGGCTGCATTCATACCTTTAAAGAATAGTGTGTCCACACAAACAGAATTAAAAATATGTATGTGCAACTTGATGAGACCTAGTCTGTACAGTCAATTAGTTAGCTGGGCTTGGTGGCGCATGCCTATAGTTCCAGTTACTTGAAAGGCTGAGAAGGAAAGATCACCTCAGCCCAGCAGGTCGAGGCTGTAGTAGCTGTGAGCGTACTGCTGTACTCTGTGCCTGGCCTAAATTTTTTTTTTTTTGAGTTGGAGTCTTACTCTGTCACCCAGACTGGAGTGCAGTGGCCGCTCCTGGCCACCGCAACCTCGACCTGCTGGGCTCCGGCGATCTTCCTGCCTCAGCCTTCCAAGTAGTTGGAACTACAGGCGCGTGCTACCACACCCGGCTAATTTTTTGATTTATTGTAGAGATGAGGTCTCACCAAGTTGCGCAGGCGGGTCTCGAACCCATGGGCACAGGCAATCCACTCACCTCAGCCTCCCAAAGCGCTGGGATTACAGACTGAGCCACTGAGCCCTGCTTGGCCTAAAATATTTATATTTTTTTGAGTTGGAGTCTCACTGTGTCACTCAGACTGGAGGGCAGTGGCCACTCCTGGCCACCGCAGCCTCGACCTGCTGGGCTCCAGCGATCCTTCCGCCTCAGCTTTCCAAGTAGCTGGAACTATAGGCGTGCGCTACCACGCCCGGCTAATTTTTGATTTATTGTAGAGATGAGGACTTGCCAAGTTGCCCAGGTGGGTCTCGAACTCGCGGGCTCAGGCAATCCACTCACCTCGGCCTCCCAAAGTGCTGGGATTACAGGATGAACCACCGAGCCCGGCTTAAAATAT